GTGGTGGATAAGTTGGTGGTGGATAAGTTGGTGGTGGATAAGTTGGTGGTGGATAAGTTGGTGGTGGATAAGTTGGTGGTGGATAAGTTGGTGGTGGATAAGTTGGTGGTGGATAAGTTGGTGGTGGATAAGTTGGTGGTGGATAAGTTGGTGGTGGATAAGTTGGTGGTGGATAAGTTATTGGGGGATAGGTTGGTGGTGGATAAGTTATTGGGGGATTGGTTGGTGGTGGATAAGTTATTGGTGGATAAGTTGGTGGTGGATTGGTCGGCGATTCACCCTCACAATTTGGCAATCCTGGTACGTTCCATGGATAATCGCAAACTTGCAGCTTTGGATTGAAAACCAACTGTCTTGTACCACCATTGTAGGTCGGGCACGAGAATACACATGCGCGTCCATAATCGCACTTGTAGAATTTATGACAATCCTGGTATACCGGGAGATGAGTCGCTGTTGAATTAGCCGTTTCATCTACCGGACATTGTGGATGGTAGTCTATGCAGTATTCGGGCTTCACTTCATCCTCCGCCGTTGCCACGCTGGCGGCGACGACGATCAGGAAACAGATCCCTAAAATCGATATTTTTATATAAATAAACTTTTATATTCATTCTAATAATATCGTTTCAATCGTCTGATGGATCACTCTTTTCGTTAAGTAAAATGTTTTAAAGAATCTTTCGTGTTACTTACGGATCATCACGGGCGATTGCTCTTAACGACACAATTTGGGCGAGGTTACTTTATCAATATCTTCTTTCGGGAATACTGATCAATCTCAATTACACGCAACTCACTTTTATAGTAAGCAACATGTCTTATCATTAATACACTAGTTTTTTATCTTATCATCCCGGTCTACGATTTACCGATCTGATTTCCAAAATGATTCCCAAATCAATATTACTCTTCCAATTCTTTTATATGCATAATATTAATTTTCTAAATTGCATCTTGCTGCACTGTTATCATTATCTAATGTGTCACAACAGACTGCTGATTCTGATGCAAACCGAAATATTAAAAATTTCGAACTAAAGAAGGAGACGTACTATGTATTTATTTATTAAAAATCAAAGCATGTACTTTCTTTTCTTGTTACTAAATTCTTCAACAGTCAGCCACGTATATGTACAGTGTCAGTATTTAACAAAATCCATTCGGCAGCCGAAAAGTCAGATTTGATCAATTATGTTATGATTTATTGCCAGCATTACTCGTAATTTTCATTTTATTTTTAATATTAATAAGAATATAATAATATAGATAAGACTGCCTGTTCTTGAAACCTGTGCTATATTTCGTCAAGCGTAAACCACTTAAGATCTTTTCTATTATATCTGAAAAGTGTTATGAAACTTCTTGTTCTATGAATTAATGTCATTTAATGTAGGCATCGGATATAATAATAAAACTTGTCTATTAAATTTTGTAAACAAGTAAATGAATGAAGAATATTAATAAACGAAGTTTTTTCACTCCGACGACAATAATGTAATGAATTGAGAGATTCCGTAAAATTTCCTAATACATTTGACATTGAAACGCGATTATGGTATCGAACGCGTTTCTGAATTCTAAGTATAAGCGGCGCTTCTTTTCTCATGTGTGTACATTATCTCAGATCTATATATCGATAAAAGGATCAATTTTCGGACGTTGGAATTTTACTTCACAAGGTCTGGTTATCGTAAAACCGAAGTTGTTTCATTACGACACCAGATTTTTAGTCAACAGCTTTTGTCCAACCGTGTCCACGAAAATGTACATTAGATATCGATGGCTTTATCGGTTTGTCTTCAACTCTCTTGCGATATTACGTACGTTCTCTTTATTTCACATCGGTATTAACACCCGAAACGGAATCATTATATAGGAACTTATCCATATTTTACTCTTGATATTTTTATTTGTTTAAGCAAATTTTTAAATTTTAATAAACAACTATGTATTCAAATAAAAATAATATTAGTAGAAGTATTTTTAAATTCATTACATTATAAAGAAATACAATAGGAAAATAATAATTATATGAAATTATAAATAATTAACACGGCAATAATACTTAAAATAATTTTAAAATTTGATGGAAAATTTAAGTTAGTGGGATATTTGCAATAGTTTCTTGCTTGAAGGTAATTGAATACATTAAAATATAAATAAAATTTGATACCGTAAAAGGAGGTTGCACAAGAAATTCACGGAGGCCGCACGTTCTCCACCTCTGACCTATGATATACATATAACTGGAAACCATTGTGACGAGGATGATACTTAAACATGTTACATTGATTTGATACAAATTTTATTTATTACAATTATTCTGAGAATCTTAATGTACAAAAGGCAACGGAGTCATCAACGATTAGCCCCAATTAGGAACTTGAAACTTGGAAGATGTATCATATTCGGAATTGAACGAAACTTGAGAGACGTGTTCAAAAAGAATCTATTTAGATGTTTCTCAAGTTTCATTAAGATATCTATAGTACTTTGTCTAGGATTGTGTCCCTTAAGAGGTCTTACCAGTGTGAAAGTTTATACTTATATTTCTAGTTTTTGACTGGCAATAACATATAAGGTAGTAATATTATAATGATTCATCATTCTTTATTGGTAATACAATATCTCATAAATAAAGTAACCCTCTTTATGGGTCATGCCGTGTCAAGTTTAATCATAAATTCGATACAGAAAATAAATTAAAATAAACAGCGAATAAAGGCTTTAAACTAAATACGTATTCTCTACGATCTACTACAACATGTAGCTAAGTAATTATAGAATTTAAATATTTTTTACAGTTTTCAGAAGTCATTGAACGATCGGTATATCGGATGGAACGAGCACGCATCCTACTTTCTTTCCCTCCAGATTATAGATACTAGAGGAATTTTTATAATAGCAATGAGCACCCGCCTGTACGCAGGTAAATGTGTCGTAATCGAACTTCATTCCTTCGGGGCAGTGTCTTTCCTTCCTCTTTCCGTTCTCGCATCTATAATAGAGAGAACAGTCGCACTCGTGCGGCAAATCACCGTCGGAGCCAGGAACGCAGGGGAACGGTTCGCAGGACAGATCCACTATGTTCTCGGGCCTGTCGCATTGACCAGTTTTCGGATTGTAATACCGATACGGCGGGCAATCGTTGATCTTCTGGCCTTTGCAATCGTTGCACGTGCAATACTTCTCGCAGTTCTCGTGCGCGATGAATTTCCCGGGAACGTTCGACGCGCAGCTCTGCTTGCATCCTTCCAAACGGCTGGGCACCCTCGCGGCGAAACAGTGAGCGTCTTTGCAGAGCACGCAGCTCTGCGTTTCATAGTCGAAGTGCTTTCCGTCCTCGCACCATTGCAGAATCTTCGTCCTGTTCCTGCACTGGAAATACCTGTCGCAGTAGCACTGATGCGGCAGCAGGGTGTTCGAGTCGCACGGGAAAGGTTCGCATTGCGGGTTCTTCACGTTCTCCGGGAATTGGCATAATTTCGTCTCCGTATCGTAGATCTTATTCTTAGGGCAGTCCATGGGCGTGGAGACCCCTTGATTGCATTTGCAATACTTCCTGCAGTCCTCGTGAGGGAGATTCTCCGTAGAGGAGGACGATGAACATTTACCGATGCAATGATTATTCGTAAGTTGGCAATGGGCCTTGTCCGGGTCGTCGCAGACCTTTCGATCGGCGTCGAAATGCTTTCCGGATGGACAAAGTTCGACCACTTTCTCTCCGTTCTGACAGACGTAGTATCTGTCGCATTGACATTGGTGAGGCGTCTTCTCTCCTTCCTTGCAGCCCGGCTTCGTGCAATTAACGTTCTCTAAATAATCGCAGATCTTCCTTTCGCCATCGTAGTAAAGGCCGGTAGGACATTGCTTCAGCTTTTTAACACCGTTCTCGCACTCGTAGTACATGGAACAATCACTGTGAGAGTAACGAATGAGTCCGCAATCGCATCTTGGACAGCCCGTATCTATCGTCGTCGTCGGCGGTGGATAGGTCGTGACTTCTGTGCAATCCGTGTTCTCGGGCAGATCGCACGTTTGAAGGAGACAGTTGAAATAGCGACCCACGATACATTTGTCTAATTTTTTCTGATTTCCTGAACATCGGTAAAAATATGAACAATTCGTTTCGTGACGGATAAGTTTGTTACCATTTGGAGTACATTCTGATGGACAGTCAAATTTCTGCGTCAACCATAGATCCTCGTAGATACCCGCGTCTGGATAATCGCAAGCCTCCTTGACACAATCGTATATCAACCCATGCGGGCATTCTTTACCAATCATCACCCCGTTGTTGCATTCGTAATACGAAGTTGAGAGACATTCGTGCGGCAAACGCACGTGTCCCTTCGCTGGACACTTCAAACCTTTCTTACTTTCCACTTCGCTAAATGAGAAAGGTGAGGCTACCCGTGTTTTCACTTGGCAGTCGATGCTCGGTGGCCAAGTACATATTCCCAGCTCCTCGCTGAACGATAATCCGTCGCTGCAAACTTTTTCCGTTTTTTCTCCGTCGTTGCATTCGTAATATCTGCCACAATTGTTCTTATCAGGTATGACCGCGTTGCCTTCTTGTGGACAATAAACTTGATCGTCCGGCTGGTAGCAAATCGCGTCTTTAGCTGGCACGCATGTCTTCTTGTTCATGTCGAACTCTTGACCAGCTGGACAAGTTCTTTCATAAATTACTCCGTTGATGCACTCGTAATATAATGAACATATGCATTCGTGTGGCGAAAATCGACCCGAAAGACACTGATTCGCTTTTAGTCCCGTGTCGAGGGAAACGACACTGGCGATCACCGCCAAGAAGGCGACCGCTGACAGGAATAATTCTAAAATGAGGGATTAAGTAATTTAATTAATTAAAGATCGAGTAATAAAGGATTTTATAATAAGGGTTCATTCGACGCGAACTCCATGCCCCTTTCCACCGATACTCACCTCTCATTACGGAGAAATTAAAAATAATCCGGGTCACTACGCTATACTTTATTCGAAAGATACTGATATATTCAAGATATTTGACCATACTTTTATAGAATGACTTATCATTGATCATCGATTCAGATTATCGTATCTTGCTTGTATTTTCGTACTTTGGCCCTGTGTTCGTATGTATATGTGATACGATTTATAATGTAATCGTTGAGTAGTGCGAATATACTTCATTCTTTTTTTTTGAACAAAGATTTCTCGAAACTTCTCTTTTCCAAATTATATTCAAGCTTCTTAGGATTAGGTGACTAATGTTGGAAGCTGTTTACAGAAGATATATTTTTGAGTGTAGACAAGTACAAAGCAAAGACACTTGTGAACTCTATCAGTTTTTCTACTTTCATACTTATATACTAAAAAGTGTTACATCTAGATAAATGTCAATTTGTGGTACCAAATGAGTGTCGGTGAGTAGACCGTAGATTCGTGTGCAAAATTAAATCTTTATAGTACAAGATGAACAAATGCGTTTTAAATAACAATTTCTTTATTTAAATATTGCATTTGATCATGTTGTAAATTTACATTTAAAGTTCCAATACAGCATTTATATTTGTTGCTTACTCACTTTTCTTGTAAATGTCGGAAATTCGGTATCTGATAAGGAATTAATAATCGCGTGGTTTGTTGGAAATTCTTGAGTTATTAGGTAGCGGGCTAAAAACGTCGGATTATGAGATACTCTCGATGATTAAATATCGACGATCATTTGCCAAAAATGAAAATAATTGTTATTCGTTGTATTTTATGACTGTGTACGTGTATATATCTGGACGTCGATGTATCAAGATAATAGATAACAATTAACACTATCGCGTGAAAGCAGTTCTACGGCTTATCACAAGATCTGAACGAAATTTTTTATGAAACCATGTTGCATTTATCACGACACCGATTACTACTTTCGAAGAAAGTTAAATGTTGTAATTGAATTTCATATTTGTTTAGAGTATATCGATTTTATTTTACCATTAAATCAATTAAATACTATTATTTACTGTTGCGTTCAGGATTCGTAGAGAAACTAGGCTCGGTTGAGTGTCTCCAAGGTACTGCACAACGTAGAGGAATTCAAGACGAATGTGGTTTGTATTGAGTCCAGACTGAATCTGTTTTGGAATTCGGCGGACATATATATATATATATACCTTAACTATAGGAAGGGAGGGTCACTTCTAGCCCTGTGACACAGGGTTGATTTTGAACCTAGTGACTAATTTAACAATACGTTTCTTAAAACTAGAGATAACTAGGAGGCAAATACTTAGTCGTCCAACATTACTCATGAGAGTTCAAGCGTTTACCTTCTTTTCTAATCTGGAGTTCGCTGTGCATTCGTTAAGAATTTCGAACTCTGGAAATAATTTTATTAGGAAGAGGATAAAATGACAAAATATACATTTGATTGTATCGCTGTTCTGATTTATTATTTAGTAACATTGACAAAATTATTTTATATTCAAAGATTCTTTTATTTAAAGATCGTTAAAAGTGTCTCCAACTTTTGACAAAATAATTGTGCCCTGTGTATTACATCTTCTTAAACATAGAGAAGAATCTCGAACCCTGGAAATTATTTTGGTAGGAAAAGGATTCAATAACGAAAAGAAGTTTTCATACGATTTAATCCGAGAGTGACATTCTCTCGAGGAATAACAATGTCTGTAATCTGTACAGAACGGTTTATCATTTCGATCTCCGTATAGAACAACAGTTTCTGTCTCGCGTTAAAGCTATTTAGGAAGGATTGTACTGTTCTGACCCGGTGCTACGGCACCGTGAACCCACAGATTAAACTCGCGCTTTCTATACATATTCCTCTACATATAATGTAGAACAGAAGGCTCGTCCTTGAGAACGGACGTTCGTATAATCGATTATTAGTAGACCGCGGATTTTTATGCAAAATGCATTCTATTTCTTTCGTTCTATGTAATATGCGCTCGCCTCTTAATATTCCAAGCGCGTTTATACGTCGTTTACGTAATTCTTCTATTTTACAACCCGCAGTCTAATTATTAGCCTAATCTATACCCGACGTAAAAAAAGGAGAAAAACTTATCCCTAAGTACTACGATAAGCGTGACCGATGTGATGTAACGATACTGAATAATCGATAATAATTGTGAGCGGTTTGACGTAAAAAAGTCGACCAAAATCATTTTCAATCTACATGACTCGAAACGACTAATGAATCGTCGCTTAATTATAACAGTGATTACACGTGTCACAGGGTGTCTGCTTTTTAATTGACCAAACGTTAGGAACACGTTCTCCAAGGATGTAAAGGAAAAAAGAAATGCCTCGCTGAAAAGTTGTATCAAAAATAAAACTTAGTCTTTCGTTAAAGAATATAACGATGAGTAAACGATACGATGAGAATATACTTATCTCGATAACGGATATGAAAATAAATAGTATCATTGATGAGGAGGTGCGGAGCAAAGTGAAATATTTTTGGCCGCTCTTACATTAAAATTCAGGCAACATGTGAACACCGACAATCACAAATTAACATCTTGAGACAATCGATTAATTCTTACGAAGTAATCAGGTTTGGTTAATTAAATTTTTTCAGGTAAACACTTTCGTGTATCCACTTTCTTGTATCTTTGATTATTTCCTACAATCGATTGCCTTGATCTGTGGGTCTATCCGCTGTGACATAAATTTTAACAACTTGTTCGTACGTACAACGTAAAATGTTATTGCGCATCTAGAGAACTGTTCCCTCGCCGCGAGCCACGTGTATGTATGTACATATCTCTATCTTATGAATGAAAATAAATTGCTTGCGATGCTCGCGACGAGATCGACTTAACATATACACATGTATATACATCTGTATTAAATATTAGCTTTACAAGGAAGTCAAAGTTTCTCTGCCTATGTGAATAAATAGTCGCGATACGTGATATACTGTACGTAATAATGACCACGTTTGTAGTGACCGCTTTTCAACCTGTGCTAACTCTAGCGAGGATCGAGTGTTACAAACAGTGGCGATTGGGTTCGCATCGCAAAATGGATTGTATAATAGTCAAAAAATATATTTACCAGATGCGTTCGATCGTTTCGTTATTTCGCGAATGGTAATTTCGTAAAATATATACGTTTGCTATATAGTAAATGTCATGGTTACACGTACGTGAGAACGTGGATACTAGTTCGCGTGTAAAGTATTGCTCGGTTCCTATTCGGTTTCAAAATGCGCCTACTCGATAGCGTCGAATGATTGCTCGAAGGGTGTGTCTCAAATAAAGTTTCGAGAATCGACGACAGCTTTTGGACAGAGAAATGCTGCTTATCTTGGTGCGCGGAGATGACTATGCCCGTTCGTCTAGTCTAGCTCTTCACTTCACTGACCGCATACATACATATATACCCGTGCATACATAGAAAAACATTCTTATCAATGTCGTTTATTACTGGACACTAGGGCAATGGAAATTTCTATTTTGAGAAACGTTTATCAAAATACTTTCACTCTTGGAAGAGAAAATTCTCATCCTATTTATCTGACTATCTACGTGTCTGTTTATCTCGCGTATATACGCGTCTATACGCGTCAGGGGGCAGCATTGCCGTCGAGCACCGCGTACCCTTATTTTTACATGTAAATTCGATATTTTGAATTTCTTTCGTGAATATTAATTGTTTCCTCTGTACTTTTTATTTATTACAGTTGAATCTTCGGCAATATCTCTTTTTTCCCGGCGACGAGCAAAATCTCCGTAAAACTGCTATCGTCAATCACCTTCCCCAATTCTTGCGATCATTCTACCAAATGGTTTGTAAATGGTAAACGTCTCGAGGTTCAGTGGTAAAATAGGAGCGTCGACTCGCGTTGGGCAGGGAACGATTTGGGAAAGAAAGGGCTAAGAAGTAACTTAATTTCTCTAACGATAAGCGTATCAGTCTCAAAAAAAGTGGATTGAGCGAAAATTTACGGAACCAGTTTTCATTCTCAGACTCAAAACGGTATTTTCGCTGATTGCACCAACCAGGTCACTGGTACCTACGATAGTGTAGACTTCCATTATCATAGTTAAATCGGCAGGATATTAATCTCCAGATAAATCGAACGATCCAACAGCGCGTTCATTCGCATTATTAAACGAAAACAGAAGAAACCGCGAACCCTCGTCGACGCGAGGTTCCACTTACTCTCCGGCCGAGGACTCGCGCCAGCTGCTCTTTGCTCTTCGTCCGACTATCTGTCCTCCTCGAAGGACTCAAACGCTCGAGATCTCATTTGCATATTTTTCAAATATGCCTTCGGCGTGTCTATGGAAATTTATCATCGATTTCCGTCGCGGAATCGCGCGCTTGTGCTGCCGTCAAAGAATCGACATTGCCTCTGAATTATTTTTCTCCGGCAACTTAACGTTCCTCTCCTGCAGTTGAATACTTCCACCGTTCTGACCTTTGTAGTCGTGACCGGGTGAAATGCCTGGTTGAACGTTCACGTATCTGTGCGCGAGATCGTCTTTGCGTTTCGGAGATTGCACGGCCACCGGCGACCCCGGGAAAAATTCATCGGAGTTCAACAGGAGTGGCCTGGAACTGTCTAAATCGCCGATCACGTCGCTCAACAACGAGTCCTGATTCTGTTTGTCGTCCTGCCCGTTGATGTCCAGTAGAGGAGGAGGCAGTCCTATGGGGCTCGTCGACGTCGAGGACCGAGTCGTAGACGGATTCTGTGGCGGCCAGGACAACGAGAACTTTCTTATATTCTCCGTAAGCTGCAGTTCTATTTGCCCGGTGTGCTCGATCTGAACGCTGGCCAAAGGAACGTCTAAACACGGAGCTAAGATCTGAGGGTTCTTGGCTAAGAAGTCGACGATGTCCGGAGCCGTCGGCCTCTTCGTGTGGTCTACTCTCCAGCAAGAGTAAATCAGATTCTCTCTGGAAAATGTTAAAAAGAAACCTCGTTTTTAAGAATGTTAAGTGACAGTACTATCATGATATTGCTTTCTCTTCACGTAAAAGTAAAATTAACGAATCGATCTTACAACAGCGGTTTTATTCCTTTGGGAACGACTAACGAATTTCCAGCCTTGACGTGCGTCAGCACTTCGTTGTTGCTCATCCCTTGGAATGGGAAGCTTCCGAACGTAATAATCTCGTAAAGTAGAACGCCGTAGGACCAGACATCGGAGGCTGGAGTGAAAATTCCGAGGCCCAGAGACTCTGGAGCCATCCATCTTACGGGCAGCATGCCTGAGAAATACGAAATTCGTATAAGAATCGTGTATTGCTTAGAATTATTGTTTAAAATTTCAATAATCAGTCTTGCGTACCTCTTCGATTAAATTTGTAATAATCGTTCTCGTACATCGGTCGCGTCATACCGAAGTCGCCGAGCTTCACTATCCTCTGGGCGTTCAGCAAACAATTGCGCGAAGCGACGTCTCTGAGGAAGGAAATTGAAATTCACTTGCAAGCTCGTAGCGAACGAATTTCTAGACACGATCACTAATAAAAATATGTCCAAGGACTTACCTGTGAACGTACTTCAGTTGAGCCAAATAACTGAGCGCCCTGGCCACGTCTAACGCCATGGCGGTCAGTTTTTTGTTAGAGATCTCGTCCGAGTCTTCGTAATTATGGTCGTTCACCAAGTGTCTTCTGCCCAGCAGATACGTCTTCAAATCGCCGTAAAGCATAAACTCCATAACTGTCAAAACAGGGTCACCCTTGATGCAAACGCCCAACAGTTTAATTATGTTCTTGTGCTCGAATCTTTTCATTACTTCCACCTCGCTGAGGAAGTCCAGTTTCTCTTCGGTGGAGCTACCGAGTTTCAGAGTTTTCACGGCCACCGCCAGCCAGCCTTTGTCAGGGAAGAACGCCTCGCCACCGTAAACCGTTCCGAAGGCACCCTCTCCTAATTTCCGGTTAATGACGACTCTGTCTCTAGGTATTTCCCACTTATCCAGATCGTCCTGGGGGTAGCCCAGGCCCAGGGACTTCATGTACTTCTCGTGCAAACGCACTTTCTTTTCGTACCTATTTGAAAATTACTATTAATTTCACGTACCTACGTGTACCAAAACGAATAAAATGATTACTGCCTGCTTACTTCTTCTTAATGATGATGAACGCGATGATCAGCAACATCCCCAGTACACCAACTCCTAGCAAGTTAACGATCACGAATGCGAATTCGCAAGAGACGTCCAAGAAATCGGCGAAGGCGGCGATGACGCACCGCTGAGGTGGCTCTGAGCCATCGTCAGGCATCTTGTCCGACAACCAGACGAGGGCGGACATGTTCAGATCCAGTCTTCCACCCACTACTTCGTGTCTCGTTTCCGAAACGTTCGGATAGAAGTTGCCGATCAACCGGGTCTCGTTGTTAACGAATTGTACAATGTTGATTACCGAGTGTCTCGAGGGACCACCGTAGAATTTAATTCTCCCTGATACCTACGTCAAACGATTCGTTTCCTGATCAGTACGATATGTTCAAAATCATTTTTCGAGAGTCAAGGAGCGCGTCATATCAAAAATCTCTGAATAGCATTTTGAAGTCGAGGTTTCACGCTTTAATTTGAAACAAAACTCGTGATGGCATCATTTTTTTTACTAATGTATTTAAAATCATTTTTTCCTATCTCTAAGCTGCTATATCTATAATTTATCTTTACGTACCCCGTAGAAATCCGTTTCACCAATGATATCCGTCAATCGGGTAACAGTCTGTTCGCTGTGGAGATCGAACACATAGCTCTGATTCTCTCGGAGGAGGCGATCCATCGCGTACGCGTACGTCCACATAGCATCATACGCGAAGCCAGCGTAATTCGACGGCGGCTGATTTCTCTGTTTGCAATCGAGCTCGTAACGATCGCGCCACTGACGAACCGTTATACCCTCTTGCATGATATCGTCGTCAGGGGCGAAATAAGCGTGCGACAAGCTTAAATGACCGTTTATCGCTTTGTTCATTTCCGCGGTAGTACACGGTACCTGTTCGCCGTCTTTATTATATTGATCGGTGTCGTACCATTCTGGCCGCAGCCAAAGGGGTAGGAACCACACGTAACCTTGTACCGCGGTCATTTCCAATCTGTACGCCTCGCACATCACTTGTCGAGCCACTTGATCATATATATCGGCGATAATGATCTTCGCCTTCTTCTGTTTCAAGTCCTGCAAATACTTGGTCATCGCGTCGGCCTCTCGTTCCTTCGGGAATTTCGCGTTCGCCACGAACACAATCCCATTATCCCTGAACATGTCTTGCATGTAGGATATATATTCTGTATACTTCTGCCCGTCCTCGGCCAACGACGCCACTCTGGTCCATCCTAATTTTTTCAACAGCTGCAAGTAGACGTGCCTGTACTGCTTGTTTTCACCGATAGTCCGGAAGAAGTAAGGGTATTTGGTACGATCGTTGAACGTAGAACCCTCGGCACTGTAGCTGATGACCACGGTTTTATAGTGCTTTGAAACTCCGACCAGAGGCTCAACAGTTTCCGAACAGGCTGGCCCCAAAACGCCGACCAACTTCTCGTATTGATTATAAACTATGTAGTCGATGAACGACCTCATCACCATGTCGGATTTACACTGGCCGTCGTTCACCAATAACGTGAAATTGTAATCTCTGAGGATAGTGTTGTTCACGTTGATGGCGTCCTTGGCCATTTTTGAAGCGATCAGTATGGATTTTCCTGAATAGAACGCTTCGTTCATCGGGAATATACCACCGACGAACAACGTGTTCTTGTCCGCGTTACTTGGCATCCACGTTTCGAGGGTGTAATTCAGATTATCCTTCAACCAGCTACACGCGACGTCCTCCTCGTCCACGCTCCCAGTTTCGTACTTCAACCTATTATGACGATCAATCAGATCCTCGTACATCTCACCCGTGAACTTCGCGTGATTAATCGCCTCGAACGCCAATCTCGCAGCGATCTCTAATCTGTTCCAGACCAGTTTGATCAATCTGTTCGATTCGTATTTACAGCCGATCTGTGAACCGTTCATGCCGCAACGTGGGAACGGGATGGTGTTGAAGGCTCTTTCGTTCGGGATCACGGTGCTCGGAGTCCAGTGCAGCATCACGAGAGATCTGTCGTGTAAAAACGTTATTGTGCAGAATTTATTAAATACTGTTTCACAGTACAACGAAAACTACTTTTGTCATTGTTTACAATACAACTCTTATGCAGTTTCTCGTGCCAGGAACATACAGTTACACGGTCTTGGATTCTACAAACGTTTCTCATAAAGATACACTAAATAAATTATATATTTTTGATATACAGAATTTTTAACTTGAGAATCTCTACAAAAATCACGTAATGGATATTGCGAAAAAAAAAGACAATTTTGCATTATACAGTCTTATCTAATGACAAATATAGAGTGTGACCATCGTATTCTGGCATTTTGTTGTTACTCTTTTTTGCGTCTTGGACTACGTTCTAACATACAAAATAAATACTTCTGCTATGCTTTCTTATTACCAAGTGACAAAAATTATTCTGACTGTCACGAACATGGGTACACCTGTTAACAGGTATGTAAATAAGATACACACGCAGAGAAAAAAAAACTGTTGCGAAAGAGTGTACGTGTGTCAAAAATATTTCAGAAGAACTGGCGAGGCGAAGGCCAATTTTTTCAATAGGCTCAAATGGGATGGGTACATAAAAAATGAAACGCCAGGTCAACTAGAATAGTTCGCCTTGTTACGGCGATTTTTCTAATCACGTTCTCGGTGGGCCTCTTGATGGCAACATTCGGAACGGCGGAATTTTTCGCGGTTCTATTTCGGGCAACGATTGTATCGCGCGACGCAGCTTGGACACGCTCGAGCGCAAAGAGCCTTCGAGAAAAATTGTTTTCAACTCGCGAACAATGTGCTGGTAACTTATAATTCGCGAGAGATAGAAACCAGCGCTTATCATAGTAGGAATTATGCAAATCGAGAGTAGCAGGTTCCAATAACTCTGCATAGAAATGTCGCATTGAAACTGGTATTGCATTAATTAAAAGAAATGCGATTACCTGTCGGTCACGTTTCGATCGGTCGACAGTTCCTCGGTCAAGGTTTCGGACAGGTACTTCAAGTTCGAGCCAACCCAAGCGACTTTCACGTACAGTCTCATCTCCTCGATGTGGCTCCTCACGAAATCGGTCGCGTCGGGATAGCTGGTCAACAGCAGAGCGCACGTTTCGTTCTGGCACCAGTCGGGAACGTACATCCCTCGCTGACAGAACGATTCATTGCAATAATGCGTTCTCGTCTCCGGGTCTGTCGTGAAATTTCGGACGCTCTCCAACGTCCGCTCGTCCACCGCGAAACGAGCCGCTGTCTCGCGTTTCGTGAACGTTATCCAACTGTCGTGCAGCCTAGATAACGCAGCGGGGACGAACCAACCGAAATGACCTGGCGGCGCGATGGATCCGCATTCCTTAACGTCGTGCGAAGTTAATAGAGGCATCGTGTCCAGCTGTGGTGGAATCCACACCTCCATGTTCACCATTGGAAGTCTGTGCGAGCAAATTAGTATAGGGTTGTTAATCCATGTAGCAATATACACAATCCACATACTGGTTATAATAAAAATCGTGGCACAATAGTAATCCGACATTTGATGTGAAATTTCATATGCATTGCTCATGTAATAATTCGTATAGTAAATTTCATAATCGATCATATTGAAATCGTATATTTTAGCATTTTATCAAATCATGATTCGAACTTCCAAAAATAATAAAACGGGAGACCCGGTAAAACCTCTCCAAGAAAGAGAATAGAAGGTCCTTGTCTACTCGGGGGAATTTACGAGGTCGTAAAATTCCCTTAGAGTTTGTAATGGATAACCGCAATCTTTTCCAGGATAGCGAAACTCCTTGAGTCGAGTTCAGGGTTGTAAAATTTTATGATGATATTTGACTTGTATCGGATTACTCGGTGGCTCGCTTACATCATAACAAGTAAAACCATTCAACAAGCTAGATTCGGATAATGGGGATTGTCGTTATCGGTGTGCGATATATATACAGTCCTAAGTGCCATAAAGACGGCAAGGAGTGTCATTAAAGGGGTGCCGATTTCAACTACCTGAATTTTACGACCTCGCTATATCTGTGTTCCTTGCACTATACTCGTCGAGGGCAACGGCCAAATCTGCGGCGCAGATATGTTACAGTCTTACCCAGCCTTGCTCAACGAACACACCCATCGTTAGGAAAAATAAGTTCTTAAAGCACTGCCAAGTTCAATGAACAGAGGAATACTTCTTATTAATTTGGAAACGATTTGGCTCACCTTTGCTGGCCACCAAAGATTACGTCGTCGGATAGTCTCCTGAAAGTGTCGTCTACTTTGAACTCGTCCTCCATTTCAAAGATAGACACTCCGGAATAACCGAGTACCTCCGTTAAGAAGATCTTCATAATTATCGTGGCCAACCTTTGGGTCACTCGGCGGGATACCTCGAAGTTAATAGTCAACGGCTGTCCATCTAGTTGAACTACTCGCTTCGGATTCATCTCTGTCAAACAATTATGTCAATCCTTTATATTGATCGAACCAATTCTTAGCTTATTCACAGAAGTCGAGTTAATCAAATTTGTATAATCACTGAATATAAATGTTATATCGATGTACGTAATACTTTACTGTAACTGTTTTATATACATGATATTAATTTATAATAAAAATCTTTAATCGGGCATCGGTCTCTGATTTACCTTCGAGCATCGTTAAACATCGACTCGAGACGGCGATCTTCGCGATGGTCAACAGGACCAGCACGCCCAATATAGATCCAGCTCTCAACATCTTGGCTTTCTCCTCCTGTACAAAATTACATAGACCATGAAAATTACTTGAAAATAGGAATCGAAAGGTAAGATGTTCGACTCAGTCAGAAGACAAAGTCTAAGTCTAAGGAGTATAAATAACAGCTATCGTCGGAATTCTGTAATGCGTTTCGTGAATCTGGTAACAGAACAAGCAGTCGACAGAAGCGTCTGTCATCGTCATGGCATGTGTCAAAAACTAGGTGACGACGTATTTATTTCGTAATTCAATGAATCTCAAGCAGAATGTATTAATATATGTATAGAGAATATATGAATTTATATTCGACGATGTCATAAAATGCAATTTTCATTTCTTATAACAATCTTCAGTTTGTCTATGAATACGAAGTAGGTGAAGAACGACGTATTCCGTGATTAAGGAATCATTACTAGAACGCGTAAATATGAAGATCTAATATAAAATACAACTTTTATTGTTTTATAAAAATCCACAATTTGTGAATATTGTAGGAATGAGTCACGTGTCGTCAGGTTACGCGGGGAGGATCCACCGAGGTCCGCGGTTTGGAGTTATCGTTATCGTTAATTGTCCGAATGATTTCGAACTGGTATATACATATACAAAGTGTCGGGCTTTTCAGACAATTACGATTTGCAAAGGCTGCCCCGAGCCGTTGGGACTCCATGCGTCTCGTTGCCAATAACAGAATGGCGTAATTTGATCGATTATGAGTGTGAAGTGGAGTGTGTGCAATGTGCGGATGTGAAGTTACGAAGTCGTTTCGTGGAGTCAGGGCGACGATGGGTCGTCGGAATATGATCTAATAAAGATACATATTTCTTAGATTAGAGAGTATTCTGATCATTTCTATTAGTAGAAAGGATACCCTACGATCCCACTCCCATAATATGAAGAGACGAATCTAATCGTCAACGAAAGTTTCCTCAATTAGGTATCCGAATGCAATATTTCTACGTAAATTCAGATTGCACTACCATAAATCCTTAATCTAACCGATTCGATGGTAATTAATTGAAATTTTTCTGACGAAACTCTCCGGAACTTTTACTCAGTCGGCACATTATTCTCGCAGCTGTATTCGCGATATATTTAACATAGCAAGCAGAAGAACAATGACGTCGGCTGTTGCACTTTGTGCGTCATTCAAATGTACTACCTATCGTTCGTATAATCGAATCGCTTACGTGTCACGAATACTGAATATGATGCATGTTCCACGGTACACCGAGTTCACGGATAGTTCGAATACCTGCGACACTTGTGCAATCCAACTACGCTCCGTGGAACCACATAAGAGAACTCCGTTTATAGTATATGTATAATATTAGCAGCCAAATGAGTATAGCTTCTGCATTCATTTGAGAGTTCACACAATTTTCCCAATTAGATACGATTTGTATTTTTCAACACTGGAACTACCGGCAATTGACGTATGCCGAAAGGGTGAAAATTACTTATATTTCAAATT